CTCATTCTTTTGGTCTCTAATTCTCAAATTTTAGTATTATAAGAATCATCTAGGATGCTTGTAAAACTCAGATTCCCAAGCCCCACATCCAGAGATTTCTTCCATTGGCCTGGGTGGGGTCCAGGAGTCAGAACTCACGTGATTCTGGGAGGCAGACTTTGATAAACACGACTTTGACAAAAAATTAATGGTTCACAAGACATCTATTAAAAAAGAACACTTTATTATTAAAAAAGGAACTTTTTATGTAACAATAATTAATGCACATTGTAAAATAACTCAAACAGTACTAAAATACATAGAATAAAAAGTAAAGGTCCTCTCTTCACCACTCAATCTTCTCAACTGTCTCTCAGATATAAGTTTTGATGATTAGCTTTCCAGACTTTTTTCTATGCCTTTACAAACACACATATTGGTTAAGAATGATGAGCATTTGATGTTGTTTTTAATTATTTTTGGTATTAAAAGTAACGCCGAAATAATTATACTTTATTTATAAATAAAGCAAAGTTGCTCAAAGCTGTCTTGGGCAACTCTGTGACTGTTTCTGTAGGATAGACCCCTAAAAGCTGAATTGCTGAGCCAAAAGATTTGACTAACACAGAAATGAATAAAATAAAGTGTTTCCCCATCTCCAATCCTATCCTCCAGAAGAAGCCACTGTGATCTTTTGTATCCTTATACGAATTGCTTATATAGGTATGTCCACTTTGTTTTGACACATTGTCAATCTGTCCTTCAAGACTGCCTATTTCCCAAGCTATTCTATTTTTTGGCAGCTGGCCAGTTTGGGATCCAAACCCATGACCTTGGTTTTGTAAGGTTGAGCACTAACCAACTGAACTAACCAGCCAGCCCTCCCTAACTTATTTTATATCTAACTTTGATTATTCTGGCAGCTATTTTAGTGTCTTCCTTGTTTTCAAGTCCCAGTGGCAATGAAATCATTGATCAGCATGCTGTTTCTAGTAATGCCAAAACTGAGGGAGCTTCTCCCAAAGGCTTTTTAGTAAAGGCCAAGAGTCTCCAGGAATTTAAATAAATTTCTGGAAAAAGACTAGAATAGGAAGTAAAATTTTGAGCATAAAATGATTTCTTCAAATTCTACACTAAAGCACTTATATAATGATAATATTTATTTTGTTGGCTGGCCAGTACAGGGATCTGAACCCTTTGACAATTATAAAAGTTAAACAGAATGGAAGAGTACTTTAAGAGTACTTCAAAAAGTTCGTGGAAAATAGAATGGAAAGATAATATTAATTTTTCCATGAACTTTTTGAAGTACCTTTCTATTATCATTCCCTCTCATGAATGCTGTATTCTAGCCAAACTGTGCTAGCCAATCTCTATGTCCTTTTAGTTCTGGTTCTGCTATTCTCTGATAGAAAGCATCCCCCTTTGATTTTGGTTAATCATGTGGAGGACTTGACTTCAAATCTCAGCCCTGACCTGTCTAACCTTTGCTAAATTATTTATTTTTCTCTCTAGTTTTATCCTCT